TTCATATTGCGAAAAGTTAATAAGAGATCAAGAAAAATTTAGTATTCAAAGAAGAAATTTACTAAGTCTTTTAAAGAAAAGAGAAACAGAAAATGTAAATATGCAATATTTTAGAAGTAATATTATCCATAAAATACGAAAATTGAAAAGCCAAACAAAAGTATATATTTCAAATATAATTTTACAATTAATTTTACCGTAATAATATTTTAAGAATTCATTAAATTGGTAAATTATATAAATGAAATAAAATAATTTTTATAGATAATTAAAAAAAAAATAAAGGAACAATTTGCATCAGTTGAAAAATATATTAGTAATTATAAATTAAATATATATCAAATGAATATAAAAAATCAAAGGGAATCACAACGATTTAAAAAATTAATTGAACATAAAGAAAAAATTATTCAATATCTTCAACAAAAGAAAGAAAGAATGCAGGACAATTTTGAATCCTTGTGGAAAGCAGCTATTACTGATAAAAAAAATTTAAACTATAGTTATTTTTAAATTATAATAAATAGAATTATTCGTGTCTACCAATATTGAAAAGTTAATATAAAAATTACATTATTAGTAAATAACAATCTTGCTTAATTGGTTATATTTTATTATTGAATATCCATATTTAATTAATATTAAAATAAAACTATAATTGTAATCATAAAAGGTTCTATTTACTTGTAGAAAAATTATATAATACCATATATCGACATCTAATAATAAATCAAATCGCATGATTAAGTATTATATTTTTAAAACGTTAAAAATAAAAAAAATTCATTTAAAAAATTACAATTGATGAATTCATACAAATTTCCTTAATAAACATTTTTATACACTTAATTTTATCGATTTTATTAATATCTGTTCAATCGATAAAATAAATTATGAACTAGTTACTTAAAAATATAATTATCTTTTATTTGAAAAAATTGATTTTGTTTTTTGTAAAATTTTTTTATTTTAAATATAGAAATAATTCAAATCAGTTTATAGTGTGAAATTTTCAGTGTAATGAACAAAAAAATTATTAAATAAATTGAAACCAGCTACCAGTTAGTGTTTATTCTTATTGTACTGATTTGTTACACATATTTGAAATATATTGAAAACATTTTACATACATAGATTTTGATCATTTATATTAATTATTAAATGGAATTAATACTTTGTATTTGAAACAAAATACTTTTGACTGTTAGAATTTAAAACTAAAATTTATAGGAAATATATTGAATATCTACTAATATGGATGTAATAATATTTAATAATTTATAGTAACATAAAAAGAAAGACCTAATGTAAGTCATTATTTAGTGGTTTTCAGACTTCTTGGCAGAAAAATTAAAGAATGCACCTTTGAAGGCATGTATAATCAAATTTTAAACTTATTGGTTCATTCAAATGCATATAGTTTTAATGTTTTTAAAGATGTTTTTAAAAATACAAATCGAAATAGTACATAACTTACAAAAAAAATTATGAAATATTTAATTTTTGAACAGTAGCATATTGAAATAATTTACTTATTTTAAATTTCATATTTAAATTGAAAATTTTAAAATATATAAATTTATACATTAATTAATTAAAATTTAATCAAAATTATATTACTTTAATATATTTATTGATTTTATTTATAGATCTGTATATGCTCAACTTCAATATTAAGGTTCAAAATTAAGATGACAAAAATTTATATTTATGATAAGACATTTTCATTATAATCTTTGGTATTGTAATTAATAAAAATACAATGAAATTTTTCTAGAAAAGACAAGTTCTAACTCTCACTACTCTTTTAAAAATTATTTATAACATTGTTACTATATCTGCATACTAAACATTCGAAGCTAATAAAATTAGTAATAGGATAACAGTAGGTTAGTTATATACTTCATGGCTTAAAAATTGATTCATTTATAATTAGTAGTATGAGACTTGGTAAATTAACTAGTGTAGTTAATTTGATATTTTTTTACTTTTCTAATTAAATAAGTGTATCTATTGACTGAATTTATAAATTTAAATAGCTTTACTTACATTATTGTATAATGAATAATTTAATTCTAAGAAATTAATTTAAATAATGACAACTATAGAGGTTTAAATATAAAAGGACATCCAGTCTATAATTTACACATGAACATTCTAAATCCAGTTGCTGTTCTGCCATCTGTGTAATTACTGTACTATTTTTAAATACATTTATACTATAGATGTAAATTATTGATATTGTAGAAAACACATTCTTAATTACTTATGTTAAAAAAAATTTTTCATTAATTTCAAAAAGTAAGAATACCACTGTTTTTCTTCTGACATGCTGTATTTTCCATCTTCTACATCAACACCTATATTTCTCCATGGCTTAATCTTTTATAGCCTAGATAAAAAATCGAACATGTGATATTAAACGCATCTCTAGTATTTTGTGTTTTTATTCTCTTTTTAATTCTAGTATTATATCTACAGTAATAGAATTCATAAGGTAATATTTAAGCGATTACTAAATATTTATAAATTCATCCTTATAAAAATAAAAAATAGAAAACTATTTAAATTTGAACTCTGATTCTTTATTTAAAAAATAGAGATAATTACTTCAACATTTACTTGCAATATAAATTATTTACAATTACATTTATTATATATAAATAGATATAAACATATAATGAATAAATAGGGTTGTTTAAATCTAATATATAAATAACAAATTTATAATTTTGTACATTTAATACTTTCAATAGCACATGCATAATTCTGCATGCACAGATATATTTTAAAATTTTCAAATACAATTTAAAAATGAGTTACTTTTTTAAAATTGTATAAAATTAAAATAACTATTATAAACAATTTATATAATCAAAATAAAATCTAAGTAATTTATTTTTAATTAGTATTTTATAAAAAATAATTATATATAAAATAAATAAAGATGAGTAAATTATAAACTATGTAATCAAGTCATTGACTAATAATTAAAAAATATATATTCCATTTATAATAAATAATATTAATAAATATAAATTATCTTTCAAAACGAAATTATATTAAGTAATCTATTTTGCTTTATATATTTATTTATATATATTATAAATATTCTTTTCATTAATTTAATATTAATCAACTATGTATTCAAAACTTATATTGCATACTTATAATTTGTTTAAAATAAAACTGATGTACATGAATACTAAATATTAAAATATCAATAAGTTATGAACAAAAAAAATTGTTTATATAACTATAATTATGATTGCAATTGTTAATCATTTTTAAAATAATATATTAATTATAAATACATCATTGAAGTAACATTATTTTTATTTTTAGTTTTATGAAAATAATACATTGAAATATTATTAATTTGTTGTGCACAAAGAAAATATAGTTCTATTTATTTCTTTAAATACAATATTACCAATAAAAAATATAATAATTATTAGTTAAGAATAATAGATATTAATTGTAATAAACGAAGAACTCAAATAAATTGAAAACATTGTTTTATTTATAATTTGTTATTTTACTAAAATTTAATCATATTCTCTTGAAATATTAATTTTAATTTAGTTTGTGTTTAATTAATTCTTTAGAAATCAAACATTTGAAAAGCTAAAAAGTAAAGATATAAATAAGATCTTTTAATGATTTTTATTTCAATTAATTTAAGCAATGCTCTATTATAATATATATATATATATATATAACATTGTCAAATTTTATTTAAAAAAAAACTGAATTATTAAATAAGATACTTAATAAAACAATATTTGTTCGTAACATTATTAAACTATTGATATGTTTATTTTCACTATCATAACAAATTTTAATAAAATCATTAAAGATAATATTAAAGTAAAATACAAATTGTATTAAACATATTAAAATTTCATCATTTTTTACCATTTTTTTTAGTATTCAAAATTTACAGTAAAAAGAGGATATTAAAATTATTTTTTTTTATGTATCTATAATTAATATTATAAAAAAGAATATCGAGAAAATGTAATTTAATAAAAATAGTATCAAGTCATTTTATTTGTACTCTGTCATTTTTAATTTTATTTAAACCTGAATTTTGTATTATATAATTAGCAAATACAATTTAACTTGAATAAAAGAAAGACTGATATTTAATTAAAAATTTTAATTAAAAATTTATTTAAAATTCTATACTAATATAAATAAGGACAAAATTTGTAAATCTTTATTCATCTTGTATTTTTCTATCTAACTTAATGTTTTTACTACTTGTAGCCGTAAATAAAATAGTCCGTAAATCCAATATTAAATAATCAGAAATTTTTACAATTTTACATATTTGATGGAATACACAAAAACAAAAAAATGTTAAATAATTGAGAATTAACAAATTGAAAATAATCGCAAGAAAATGTAAATCAATATTTATACTTGAGAATTGAATAATACATACAAAAGATATTTGATCACCTTTCTTCATTGTTAAACAATACATAGAAAAAAGTCAATTGATTTATAATTAAGATAGTTTTATTTTTCAACGTGGTTTGATCAAAATACAAATTATGATTTTTGTGGTTAACCAAACTAAAATTTTATTTTTATATAATAATGCTATTTATTTTAAAAATAAATTTTTTAACAAAAAAAATGTTTAAGTGACTGATTCACAATAATAAATTCGTAAGAGTGAAAATCATAACTATTCACATTATTAACAAATTTTTAAAACTATTAACAAAATTTTTTTTTTTCAGAATTGGAAAATCAATCAGATTCTAAATGAAAAAAAAAGTCTCAATCTGTTCTAGACATTATTCATCCATAAAACTAAATAGTCAATTGTCCTATACATAAATTAATAAATACATCCTAACCGTGCTGATTATTTGAGTGCTACTAGATACATTTATTTCACTAAAACATTTTAATAAAGTTGGTAATTATGACATTACTCTATGCACGAGGAAAAGGAAGTGCAAAGGTAAACGCTGTTGATAATGTGAAATATAGTTACAACAATATGTAATTGGATCATAAGTAATTTAGAGAAACTATGGAGTTTGAACTCGATGGCAGCCTCAAAGAATGGGCTAAGGATAAGCCTTTAAGCATTTTACAGCTTGATCCCGCTGATAGAGCCGTACTCAGGATAGCTGGTGAGTTTATATGGAATTATAATTGCTAATTCTTCTTAAATATTTATAAAATAATATTAAAAAAAAATAATAATATTTGACTGCAGGATTAATAACCATAGCATTTATATAGCATAAACCTTCAAAAATATTTCTAATATGTTTCAATATTTAGACAATTAAATAATAGCCTCGTTAATAAAAAATAAGTAAAAATTCTTCTTTATTTATTAATATTTATAAGATATATTATAAAAATATCTTCAATTTAAATAAAAATTTAATACTATTATTTTTTCATGTTAAATTTTATATATTATTAATGTGTGTATCATACAATAAATTTAAAAAAACAGTGATTTCAAACACTTTTCTTAGAGTATTTTATTTTCAAATGACATGATCTATCGAATAGTTCACATTACAATAAATGATTTTTTAAATTATATGCTTATAGAAAATTTTCTGATATTACATAAAAAATATATCAGTTTTTAAGTAGAATTTATTTTAAATTTAATCTGTATGCTATTTTTGTATAATTTGATTATATAACTTTTAATATAAGATACCATAGATTTAAAACTATAGATTTTGGAAATTTTAGTTTTCTCAAATGATTTGTGATTGAAATAATAGAAAATCTAATAATTTTATTTTAGGAAATTCTGTATGTTAAATTGGTACTGCAACTATTAAGTATAATTCTTAATAATTTATCCTTATAGTACATATATAGTATATTTGTTTCTAGACACTATTTATTTATATAAAATTTCATTTTTCATTAAAAAAATCTTTCGTTAAAAAAATAATTTATTAGAAATAATTATAATTTGAACTTTTTCACCGATTTTCGAATGTTAGCTGCAGGTACAGTACATCATTTTAAGCTTTTTAAAAATAGATTTATGGAAAAGGTTATTTATTCCAAGATTTATTATCCATTATCTAGAGAACAAATGAATTTTTAACAATATTTTTAAATTTTTAACAATATTTAAAAAAAAATTTTTAAAAATAAATTTTTAACAATAAAAAAATTTTTATTATAAAATTTTTAACAATATTTATTATTCAAAAATTATTTATTGGAATTAATTATTGAAATAATTCTTATCCAACTTATTTTGAAATTGTAAGTGAAATTTATCGTAATAAGTAATTGCATTGATTTTCATTATGCACTGATATTTGTATCGCAATTCTGCATTTAATAATTTACGTATTAGATAGTTATGGTGATTTATTTATTTTTATAACTTATTCTATTATCATATATATTAGTTTTGTTAATCATTAATTGTAATGTTAAATATTTCACTATTTATAATTATATGGTATTATAAAAATATATCAAAACTTTAAATTTTCTTAAAAGACAAATATATTTTAAATAATTTTTTTAAGCTTACATAATAAATTAAAATTTAGCATTTATATTTACATTTACATTTTTATATCTAATCCATTGTTTACATTGAGTAGAGTTCGAGATCATTTTTATAAACTCTTCTATGCTATGGTTCAATCGTATTTGCATGCCATTGCATTTTAGATAAAGTAATTCATGTATATGCGTTATTAAACGTGCTTACAGATTTATAAAAATTTACTTCAAATTTTATTAATATATATTATTTGTCTGAAATAATTAGAACCATTATATTTTTTTAAATATAAATATAAAGAAATTAGGAATATTTTACTAAAATCAAGTTTAAATCATTGGAAAACGTTAATTTTAATTTTTTTTTTTAGATATTAATAAGTAATGACCATAAAGAGATTTATGCTGAGATTTAAGTAATAAAAAACATTTCGTAACACTTAAGTTAAAATCAAACTAATGATTCCAACAGTTATTGCAATATATTATAAAAACCTTTGCAAAACGATTATTTCGTAATAAATAATAAACCGTAGAATAAAATAAATAATAGTGATTTGTATCGTGGTTCAATGTACAATTTCTAAGAAAAACAATTTACTGTAGTCATACTTTTAATACTGTTGTTTTTTTATTACTATTATTATTACTAATTATTACTATATAATAATTTATTGTTTTGTCTTTATATACTACTATTATCTCTAAATAATACTATTTTCTCTTTATATATATATATATATATATATATATATATATATATATATATATATATATATATATTATTTGCTTATAATATCGTGGTATTGTAATTATCCTTAAACAACTAAAAAATGTACTTTTTATATTAAAAATTTGATTCTACATAATATTACAAAAATATTTAACTTAACACTTAAGCTGCAAGAATTAATTGTGTGATAATATGAATAAGCTCAAAGTAAGAGTTAAACTAAATATTATATCAAAATTAAATTAAAATATTATGGTTAACATAATATAGTTTAGAAAAAGTATTTTAAAGATGAAATTAATTTCACATGTAATATATATTGTAATATATATATAATATAAGATTTATACAAAAAATTAAATAAACTAAGAAATAAAATATATGAAATAGTAAAATTATAAATTTAATATAAATTTTCATCTACAAAGCAATTTTTTATTGTAATGATTATTTTGTATTTATTAATATACGAATTTTTAATATTTTACTTTATTAATCAGATTAAAGAAAAGATTTTAAATATTTTATAAATTTATAAAAAATATATAAATTCTTTATTTAGAAGAATAAGATAGGAATTCATATACAAAAAATACTCATAATTTTATGCGAAATTTAATAACGACATACTTTTTAACGAAAATAGATAATTTTTCCTTAAGATTTTGTGATGATAAATAATCACAAAAAACCTTTATGGTTAATACCATATTAAGTTTTATAATAATAAATAATCATACCATTAAGTGAGAAATGGATGCACGATTGGAACAAATTTAGCCTTTACATAAAACCCAACAAAAATATAGTCTCAAGAAAGGAACAAATAATTCAAATAATTGTATTAACTGAATGGTTTTAATTGTTTTAATAATTAACCATCAGTAACAATTTTACAATTAAATTTGAATTTTAAAAAAAGTTATAAAAAGAACTATTCGTATTATGTAGTTGCACAAAATATGAATGTAACCAATAATTATTTATTCTTCAATATAAATACATAATATTAATTTTAATAATACTTTAGATTGAACAAAGATTGTAATATATTTCAGCTAAATGTCTTTGATAGCCTTAAATGATGATAAAACACAAGTGTAAATATTATGTTTATAAATAATTATATTGTACGTACAAATAAATTAAATGTTATAAATAACTTAATGATTTATTATACATCATTTATGATTAGTGTTAAATAAAAAAGATAAAAATTTTATTAATATATTTTTATTTATGAATTATAATTTCTATTTGAGCAGTCATAATAAAGAGATTAATATGCTCCACTTTCATATTGTGATAAAATAATAATTACATACCTTATGCAACAAATTTTATTTAAACAATATGGTAAGAAATGAATTATTATATTCACATTTTAACAAAAAGAGTAAATCTACAAAATTTGGATAAAATTAATATATAAATATAAACATAAATATATTTATAAATGTATACATAACAAAATCTATATAAGTAACTAAAAAATATTTTATTAATGGTGTGAGAATATTGTTTACTTATTAAATAAAATATTGTGTAGAATAATTCATATTAATGATATTAATATAATAATGATATAACAATATTTTACTTTTTTTGTATTAAAATAATTTGAGAAATATCTGAAACTCTTGTTTAACATAAGGTAAATTAAATTTATAATATAGATAAATTCCATTTCAAAATAAAATGAGAATGTAATATTGAAAATTATTAATGCTCATTAACACTAGATAAATCTGAAATTTTTAATAATCATTTTATTTTAACCATATTAATTATTTATAAAATATTAATATTTAAACGAACTCAGTATGTTAAAATATTGGAAATGTGTATATGTAGATTTCTACAAATTTATACTATTATTCAATTATTTCTACTCCAATTCAAAGTAAAATTATAAACTGACAAAATATAATTTACAAATTAAATTTGAATATAAAAGAAATTAAAATAAAATTTCTTATTTGTTTCTATAATTTGTATATTTTAAAATTTTAAGTAATTTATGAATCATTTATAATTATAACAATTGATTTTATACCTTTGTTTATTTAACAATCTTAGAACCACTATAACAAATATGTTCAGGAAAATATTAATATATTCTTTAAAAAGTTGATCCTATTTAATATTATTATTAATTTAATAATATTATTAATACTAAGTAGTTATTTATTTTGTGAATTCTTGTAATAATGTAAAGTATATATTAAATTTTGGACAAAATATTTTTATTTAAATGATTGTACATCTTATTATATTACAAGAAATTTTTATATAGCTGCCATTAATTATTAAAAGTTATCAGAAATTTCAGGAAATTGTTAATTGTCAACTAGGTTAGATTTGTTTGGAAACATAAACAGAGGACATTGTTTATAAATCACATTGATTTACTAGCGGTACTATAGAATAGTAGCCCCCTTGCAATCACTGTAGCTTACGCTCTCTGGCGACAGACACGTAAGACAGTAATAAGGATAGCTGAGCTGTATCGGCTAGTTGCGTGCCAGTGTTGATCATAAACTGCTATATATTGCTATTTGTAACTGACCAAACATTATGCCGAAGTCAAACATTGATTATTTAATCCAGTATTTTTACTTCAGTTTTATTATTTCCGTCATGTACTCTATTGTTAAAATAATATATTAACACATATGTCGGCACTTACGCTTGTGTTCGTACCTGCATAAACTGACAAAGTGCTGTTATAGTTATTAAAGAATTATTATTGCGAGTGCAAGTGATACAGCTATACTGTGGTTTTTCATCGATCTACGTATGTAGACTTAAACTATAAGGTCTCAGCTTCACTGTGAAAAAGCTTTGCAACTGCGAGCCTTCCAACATTCCAGATGTACACGCACGCGCAACACATTA